GTCTATATGGCTATTTTTTCATTGGCTGCATTGCACTTCATGATGATATGTATATAAAGGAATTGCTCATTGCCTTTATCAATTACTTGTGTTTGCACTTAACATATGTTACATGAGCAGTCATAATATACAGAGGAGAATTCGTCTGTCCATTATAAAAAATGTCATGCAGAATCTGGAAGAGCACCCAGGACTTGCATGCCTCCTCTTTAGCACACTTTCCCTTCAGTGCCATTGCTGCCTATGCCTTCTGGATCTCTTTCTCACTGATCTCAGTGCCACTTAACATCAAATGTGAGCTAAGCATTATTTTCCTAATGTTAAACAAGGCAGAGAAAAGTGTCACAAGTTAATTTGGAGCTTAGTTTGAGACTATGCAGATTTTAGTTCTTCAGAGTCAAAGAACCTGCCCTTCAGTCCAAATCTATATGCTGTAGCGCTAGCTGCAAAATCTGTCTCTTAAAAGTGTTCACTCATAGTGTTTACACATGGAATTAATTTCTTAAGTGTGAAGGTGACCTATCAGACTATGAGGGGTTCCTTTTTTCTGTCTGATGTGCTTTATAGCACTTCAGTAATCAGTTATTTCATATTTTTATGTCACAATAAGCAAAATTGTTAAACCCCCATTATCTTAGAGAGTTAATCTATATTCCTCTTAGACCCTGAGCTTTCTCCCCCAAAAGCAATATTCTTGTGAAATAGTGTTCTGATAAATATACTTTGTTTTGTTGAATACTCATATTTCTTCAAATATGATTCTTTTTATTTTTTATATTCTTAACATATACAAATATATAGAAGAAAATGTAGAATAGAAAAAACTAATATAAACAGAACAGATTAAAGTGGACAAAATAAAAAAGTTGCCAAGGGAATTTTAAACAAATACAGCCTATGTATTGCAGCCCACAAAACTGACTCTCTTCCTACCTTCCCACACTTTGTGAGAGTTTGCAAAGAAAAAAATCATTATTCTATATATTTTTCAAATATGATTCTTAAGCACACCTTATGTTAGACAGTGACCTGTTTCACATGACATCACAGGCTACTGTAGCTTGATTTACCCATAGGGTTGATATATTGTGATGGCCATCCATGGGCACCTGGAATACCATGGCTTGTTATGTGAATCCAGGTGACAGGGTTCTATGAGAGTTAGGTAATCCCCAAATAAGCCTAAAACAAGCAATGGGTCATTGGAGTGCTGTCTAACCCTTACACAATGTCTGACATAATAGCTCCCTCAGATCAGTGAAATCAGAGTGGACCTTCATGTTACATAAACCAGAATTATGTCTTCCCTGAAGGCATTTCCCATTGACTCAAGATCTGTTACATGAACGAAGAATTTCAGCAGGAGAAGTGCAGCTGTTAAGGTCTTTCTTGCCTGTTTAGTTTGGCACATTCCTAAATTTTAGCTTACATTACTCTGGTGCTTATGACCACAAAAGACAGAATACTGGAGTATCACTGACCTTAATTAGAACAGATTCCTTTGGTTACCCTGAAGTTTGCCATTATCCCCTCTTTAGAAGAATTGCCCTTTGATGTGTCATCAAGATCTTTCTCATATCCCTCCTACATGAGCCTGTACTAAGTTTGGGGAACTGCTGATCACATTATTTGTTCACGTTATACAAATTCTATGGTACCAGACATTGTCTGAGGTTTTGCAATGTCTTGCATAATCTCCAATGCTTCCAGAAGATGTTTTCTGCTATTCATAAAATTCTGTTTATTATCAATTTGACAAATAGTTCACTTTTAAGATGTACGACTTGTTCTTTTTATGTCCAAGCCTGCCTCATTCATACATAGTTTGCCATGATGTATATGTTCAGAAATCTTAATTCTGAAAACTGAAACAAAAAATGATTGTAAATCTTGATTTTTTGTACCTTAACTGCAAATATCAGTAATGAGAGCAAAACCACTGCTGCCATTTTCAGAAGATTTGTCTGTTATTATCCTTTGTCCCTGTGTTATTTGGAACATTTCTAATGCTTTTACCTCAGAAACCAATGATCAAACACCTAGATTCCATGTCAAGGTTCCTCAGGGAGAAAATACATGCCAAGACATCATAAAAATGGCTGTCTTTAGGAAGACAGTACATACCGCAAATGGGGTTGCCAGTCAATTTCCCCTGTTTTTTTCACACATTTGTTAAGATTCAAGTGGTTAAGAGAAAGAACAGTTCTAAGACCTCTGGACAGCATGAGAGGCCACAGGATTTTTTTGTATTCCCAGATCTGAGGTCAGAGTCTGCACTCCAATCTTGGCACTGAGAGTTGGAGCTCTGATTGATGCTCCCTCACATCTGGTGTGGGAAGCACTGTGCCAGCTGTAAGGGGGGGGGGGTCCTTCTTATTCCTCTTTTGTCATTGTACTTTTCCACATTTCACAGATTTAAAATTTGATGTAAATCCCTTTGAAAGATTTTCACTTTAAAAGCAGTATATAGAACATAGCCTTTTTTTGGTAGAAAGTCATGGAACAACTTCTCCTGGGGATGGATAAATCCATAACTTGCTTACATTAGGCATGTGGAAAAACTCAGATCAGTCTCAATGCAGAGAGGCTTAATTAACAGTTCAAACCAGAACTAAAGTTGGGTGAACATGCAGTGTTAGTCTCACTGAGGTTTTCTAGTTTAGACCTTCAAGTTCTCAAACATCTGCCGTTTTTCACCTAACGCTCATTAGGAAAATGCTTGTTTTTAGGTGTATATTTCCTCCATATAAGCTAAAATATAGTATGCTGATGACACCCAGCTCTACCTCTCTTTCACATCTAATCCAGGTGAGGCCGTGGCTGTCCTTAACCAGTGCCTATCTGATGTGACGGGCTGGATGAGGGCCAATGAATTGAAGCTTAATCCAAACAAGATGGAGGTTCTGTTGGTAGGTGGTTCAGCTTTCCAGGTAAGTGATCTTTACCCTGTTCTGTGTAGTTTGGGAGTGCTCCTCAACCCAGAGCTGTTCCTGGAGTTCCAGGTGGCTGCTTTGGTGAGGAGGGCTTTCCTTCAGCTTCTGCTAGTTCATCAACTGTGCCCTTACCTGGATGAGCATAGCCTAGCAATGGTGACTCATGCTCTGGTAAGCTCTTGAATGGGCTACTGTAATGTTCTTTATGTGGGACTGCCCTCAAAGATGGTCTGGATACTTCATTTGGTTCAGAATAGAGCAGTCAGGATGCTAACAGGGACCGGCAGATATGCACATATAACACCCGTCATTTACCATCTACACTGACTACCAGCTGAAGACCAGGCCCAATTTAAGGTGCTGGTGATGACCTACAAAGTCCTAATTGGCTTAGCACCTAGATATCTGAAGGAGCCTTTCCTTCCCTATCTGCCTTCTTGCCCCTTAAGATCTTGGTCGGAGGTCCTTCTTTGGGAGCCCTCCTTGAAGGAAATTAGAAGAGTGGCTACCCGGAGAAGGGCTTTCTTTGCAGTGGCACCCCGGTTATGGAATACGTTCCCCAGAGAGGAGTGCCTGGCGCCAACACTTTATTCTTTTCAGTGCCAGGTTAAAACCTTTTTATTTTCCCAGTAGTTTAAAACTGCTATTTTACTTGGGGTTTTATTGTATAGAAATGATGCTGTTTTACATTGTTTTATTGTAAAACATCCTGAGACTATTTTGTAAGAGGACAGTATAAAACAAGTTTTGAATAAATAAACAAAATGTGAAGGGGAAATGAACAGTTGCCTATGTCTGCACTTTCAAACATAAATAGACTTTGGGCAAATGCAAATATTTCCTGAGAATTGCAGTTCTGCCCACATTTGTGTTTGGGGTGATGAATAGGGAGTCTTTCAATGAATTGCATTGGGAACACACTTCTCATACGTCCTTAGGTAGAGCAGTGATGTATTAGGAACAAACAAAATGGCACCTTCCTGTGTAGATGTGTAGTATCAGCTCACAAGAACTCTTAAGTTTATTAAGAAGTTAACAAAAACTCAGCGAACTCCAGTCCACGTTCTAGTACAGATCTAATATGTAAAGGGTTATACAAAGGGAAGGTGGATACTGTCTCAGCCCTGATCTCCTCTTTCACTTGTCCCCAAGGTGAAGAGACCAGGGTGGAGGCAGTAACCATTTTGCTTGCATATAATTCTTCAGGTTTCCTCTTGCTTGCACACTATTGCATCACAGAATATTTATTCTTTTTGGAAACAACATTTTATGGCACTTTTCAGTTTCACTGCTATCTTATTTTACTCCTTGAAGAATAGCTATAGCTCAGCAATAGAACACATGCTTTCCATACCAAAAGGATCTCATATGGTAGGGCTGGGGAAAATTTTCTGCTCCAGGTTCCTTGAAGATGTGCTCCCAGTCAGAGCAGATGGTGCTCAGTTAGACTGGCCAATAGGTTGGCTCTGTATAGAAAATGTTGTAAGTTCTCCTGTTTTCCAATTACTTCCCCCTCCCCTTTAAAAAAAATGATGCCTATGGAAAGAGCAAGCCATCTCTTGCTGTACAAAACAGCCATTAAGTATTTCACACAGATTCAGAATGGAGGGTATAAAACACTTATTGAGCATCTATGGGATGCAGTCTAGTCCATCTGTTCTATTAACGTTCTTGTTTATGGCATAATTGCGTTCCACAAATCTTAAGTACTTCCAACTGAAAGATTAAAGTTTTTCCTCCTTTTTGATTATTAGAAGTTATCCCTGAAGAATTTTATTGAGCAATGGGTTGGATTCAGACTTCATATTAAAGAAGACTCGATGAAATCATTGGTATTTAAATTGTTCATAACCAACTTACACCCATTGGTTTCAATGGCTTTGCTCTAAGTATCAGAATCTGGAACTATCCCTGCATGACTTATGCCTCCCAATGAATGAATCAAACACCTTAATCTGTGCTGAGACTTATTGCTTCTGAAGAATACAAGAACCTTTGAGCAAAGCTGCATTTAGTTAGCAAGCTGTGAGTGAAGCATCACTGACAGAAAGCACACAGAAGGCACCATGATGTCAGAACTTCTCTTCACAATTTATTTTCAATTACAAAGGATGTTGCATACATTGATGAGTTTGTATCTGAATAGAAGTGCTAGGGCTCAAGGGTGACAGAGTAAACAAATCAATATTTTAATTGTGCCTCTTTTTAAAAAAGGAAAAATTACACAACATTAAACATTATAAAAGTTGCAAACAGATCATGCTTTTAACAGGATAAAATTTTCTAAACAGAGACAAGACCTTCAACACATTTGTCTGAGATCCAGTTGGAAATGGACTACAGAACATTAACAGCACTACAAACATGATCCCAAGCATTGGAAGGTCACCAGATTTGTTAATATACCTTTTTCATTTTTCAGAAGCTTTGCTGTTTTTGCATGTGCCACTAGCCTTATACCCAAATCTTAAAGCCATCTGCTTGGGAGCATGTGCCATTGATTCAGTGGCACCTACTTCCAGGTAAGTTTGCTTAGGATTGCAGCCTTAGTTTGTTACCTTGAGTGAATAAAAAGCTTGTCAGTATGCTTAAAACAGAACAAAAAAGTGGCAACCCAGTGTTAGATCCAATGCTGTAATTCTGCTGACAGAACTGCTTCCATCAGTGGGACCAGGAGGGTGGCTCCTCTCCTCCCGCCCCCAGGTGATATCAAAGTCTATTCCAAAGGACTAAGAAATCCTCTACAACAGATTTTGAGGCTGCATGGAGAACTGCCAGGAGTAGGAAGAGGAGGAATTTCTATTCTGCCAGCAGACTTCCACCAGCGTATGGATGAACAATGAATGAACATTATATTATTCTCTAGAATAGAAGATTGTGACATGAGTAGCTAAAAATCAAACCAAATTTGAGTTCTTCTTGGTCTTTCATACTTAAATGTAGCTAGCACATGGGGTTGAAGTAGACCCACTGAACTCAATGTGATTTCAGTGTGTCTGTTCTAAGCATGCACTCAACTCATGGTCTGTACATATTAATAAAGTAAAATTTGTTTAGCAAATCAACTACAAGTATCTTCTTGCTTGAAGGAAATACTTTGTTGTTGCTGACCTATTCTGGACATTAGCTAGTGCAACTAACTGGAACTTCTGTGTTCAGGTGCTGTTTAAAACACTAGGATAATCAGGGTTTACCCATCACTTACACTAACAGAAGCACCTGGTTGGCTGCTGAAGGCAATGACAGACTAAGCAAACCCTTGGTCTGATCTTCCAAGACATTTTGTTCTTTTCATCTAGGTCTGCTGTTTTGGGGTTAAGCATTCTGCTTTCAAAAAGGGCAACAAGACCAAGGCTACAATCCTAAGTACATTTAAGACAGAATTATGTTTTTTCCACATAAAATGGGGCTAGTTTCCAAAAAAGCATGTTTAGAATGGGGGTGGGGGGCAGGCATGATCAATATGCTGTTGTGAAAGTCTGTGAACATCTTAGAGGCTGAGCTTTACTTTGCACATTTTTATCATGCTAAATCAGTTGGGGAAAAGTAAAGAGACTGAGGATTGAATTCAATGGTATCCAATCAAGTTTAGAATTCCATGAAAGAAATATATGTGGAAGTGGCTGCTCTGCAATATCGATAAAGCATTCCATACTGGAAGTATCTCTAAGTGTTGTTCTCACTGTGGTAATACCCTTAAACACAATTTTTAAAAGGAAAGAATCAGTGTTTGGATTAGTAACTGACTGAAGTGTACTTTCCATAATCCCTTAGGTAAAAATATGATTAAAAATTGCACTGCTGTGCAGCGTTAAATTGCACTGCTACACAGAAGGTAGGCTTCCAGTTGGTAGCAGACTAAACTAGGCAATTCTACAGCTAATGCCTTATCTTAAAAAGAAAGGAAATCATGATCTGTTGTGTGAAATTTAGGTCTGAAGGCCTGAACTACTATATTATGTACTTTGACTATGTCTCAACAGAATTCCAGGAAGACTGCTAAATAAGTCAAGAAACAGACTAGCTATGCTATTTTTTGCTGAAGGCAACTTTTAAGAAAACCCATTAAAAACAGGTAAGGAGGCTATTACCATTTTAAAACTAGCCATATTTAAAAGACTTACATAAGAGAAACAATACATCAGTTATTGACATTTGTGAATAAACAAGCAGATTTATTAATGAAGGCAAACATCAGAAAAATGGTACAGAGTTAAGTGAAACCCACACTGACAGTACGGTATTTGAGAAATGTCTGTTGCTTTAAGATTATTCAAGAGACCTTTATAGAAAGTTTCTTGGTTTTTTTGCTCTTTCCTAGTACATTTCAGTCTACAATGAAAAAGAAATTACTGACCAAACTTGGTATATCTGTGCCCAATATTCCTACAACAATGTCACTGTTTGCATTGATGGCAAAGCAGAGTGGAAAGAGCCAGTCCTTGACTAGCCAAAAGACTAGTACTAATGAGCCCCAAAAAGTTAAATATCAAGATGTGCTTGATAAATTCAAGAAAAGGCAGAGAAGTTTTTGTAAGAGATGTAGTGGAATTATTTAAAAATCCTATCCTCCAAGTCCACTGAAAAATTGGTCACCCTATGCCAGTACAAACTATCAATATAACTTTAAATCAGATCTATTTGAAGTTCCTTCATGATGCTTTTATTGTAGTTTGCTTCCAAAAAGGGTTCAAGGGTTTAAGGAGTCCAGGGGAATGAAAAATAAACTTGGTTCTAATATACAAGTAAGGCACAATATAAAGCCACGTCATAATCTGTCAATGGAAAAAATGGGAAAAAGACTAGAACATGGTATAGAGCAAATAGTTCATCATATCCATTCAAAAATAGAAGTGTGGCACTCAATTTCAGACTGACATTTTTTTTAGCAAGAGCATGCTTTAATATGGAAACAAACTCTAAAGTATCCAGTGTATGAAAGAGTTTAGAACTTCTTTTTTAAAAATAAAGTATATAATTGTTTTTGGATGACATTAGAATATTCACAATGCCTACACTCAGAAAGTGACCAAAGACTTCAATAAGATCCACATACCATGTATCAACACTGAAAACCTTTAGAGAGCTCCTCTAAAGATAATCATCCAAAAATGCATGCCACAAGTTTCCCAAACAAAACATGAACATTTGGTTTTTTAAAAATCTTTGTGATAATTATACACTAAACATATATTTAATGACACTAGAGGAAGCAGATTGTTACTGGCATTAAAAGTACAACCATTTCTAGACTGTTTTAAATGCCACAGAGTCCCCTGGTTAAAATGTAAAGCTGCACAGCTTGCCTATGTCATCTTTACAATAAGGTTAAACCAGCAAAGGTCTTAACTTTACTCTACATTTTACTGCCAGGTTTTATTTAGATCAAGTATCGCTGCAGCATTCTGACCAGCCCAGAGTTAGCAGCAAATGGCAGGAATCATATAAAATGCAATATCTTTTTTTTCTTTTTTAAACAAAGTGCTTTTCTAAGATATACATACATATATAAATAGAATACAAAATAAAGTGTCACCATTAAAAAGCTCAGCTATGTAAAAGCTTTTTTGACTATAACTTAATACATAGAAAACACTGAAATGCAAGGGTATGGAATCCACTAAAAAGATTCAAAGTATTTTTTTAAATGCTAGATCAAAATCATATTCTGGTTTTCAGACATGCACAAAAGCACTGGAAAGCAGTTATCAGCTCAGAGAAATCGGAAAAGGAATATCCTCTTACTGTCAGTTTACCTTGCCATACAAATCCTGATTACAAAACAGCTGTATCAGATTGTAGCTGTATCACGTCCGTTCCATGCTGATCCAGTGTTAGGATCTTAGCATGAACAGTATTTAAACACCATTCACCAATGAAAATCAACACTATTTCAACATAGCAAAATAGGTGTATGTAAAATACTTAGACACAGTTGTGCAGCTACAGTTCAGGCAGACAGACCTCTGATACACCAGTGGCATTTCAGGCTTGTAGACACACCACTTATATTTTTAAACAATTGTTACTCCATCATGACATGCAAGTCTCTGCTGATGTTTTGCAAATGTTTCAGACAATATTTAATAAAAAGGTAGCAAGAAGCAGCAGTGGGGTGGGGGAAAGAAGGCTGTGGGGTGGAACAATTCTGTAGTGGTATGCTGGCCTTCCCCCATCTTTCAATTTTTTTTTTTTTTAAAGCACATGGCTTGCACACTGAAGCAATGTAGGAGATTCAAAGCCTCCATTGAGAAGGAAAGAATCACACTACAAGATGTATGCAAAGAAGGGGATGGTGAGGATTCATAAGCTTTTTGACTTTGCATGGAGCTACATCTGAATTATTTGGTATTCTTAGTAAACAGTGTTATGTAGTCAACTCTGTATCAAACAAATGGGAGGAAATGCATTCATGAAACCAGATAATGATTCTGTCTACACATAACTCTCTCATCAAGAGATAAAGCTTTTCATTGGTACTTTAACACTGACCAGAAGCAGACTCTTGTGAGCCAAACTGCACACATTTGTATTCCCCCAATCATAGAAACTACAAGTTAACAAGTCACATAGAAGTTTGAAGCTAGTTGAAATATCTGTACAAAAATATAAAATCTATAAATTCTTTTTTTAGCCTGTGTTGATCCTTGGAAACATCACATGCACAATAATACAACAACTGGAAAAGTGGCAACTAAGGAATTAGATTTGTAGCTCTTTTTTCTTTACATATATACACATTACAATAAAAATAATTTTATTTTGGTTGTTTGGTGGAAGTATACTACAAGCTAAATCTTTAATTCCCAAAAATGAAATCTATTTTACCAATAGCTTACTAAAATCCAAATATATTATAACTTCTAATATAAGTGCAGAAAAAAAAGGATTTACAGACTTCTAGATGGGCAACTTATCTACTATGAAGCGAACTAGAGGAACAGCAAAATAATAGTTATGTATGAATGCTCCTTCTGTAGATAATTGGACCCAAAGAGAAAGAAAGAAATTCACAGTTCAGTAAGATCCCTAACCCTGACCTCTTAAGTTTTTTTTTCTTTTTATACATTCAGTACAGTATCATGTAAGCTGTGCAAAACTTTACTTAAACTGGCAGTTTGCCATATCAGTTGCATTTGTCTTTGGTACAAAAATAAACAATCGCATTAATGTGCAAGTATTTGTTTTCTTCCGGCCAAGTACCGAAAATGAGTTTTCTAGAGCCATCTTTTATACAATACATAGACTCTGTGGCATATCTACATTTTCAACATATTCCTATATACATTCAAAAATTTGTAAGAGCTGGAACAAATACATTAAAATCCATGAGACCATCTATACATCTTCTCCCCCACAAGGGTTTCTCATCAAAGTCTTTACCATTTTACTTACACTTCTCCCCACCCTCCCTCCCCCCATACAAGGCACAAAGAGTATACATTTTTTTCTTACTTGCACAGACATTTAAATACCGTATCAAGCTCAGAAAATTATATTTTTTATATGGCACACTAGCTTTCGTGCCGAGTGTGCTATGTACAAGTTATGGTTGCAAAGAAAACTTAACTGTTTAATTTAGAACAAAAGAGCAATAATTCTTGAAAAACCCTTTAGTTTACATTTTTATTTTACTTAAGAGCATAAACCTGCCATAATGTTTGACATTTTGCTAGATGTTTACTTTGCAAAAACATGTTTTGCTCCTACGTAAGCTATATCATCTGGTCCTAGATAAACTTAATTTTAAAAAGAATACGTAGCCACCACATTTATGCCAGAAGCAGATTTAAAACTACAAGGTTTATGCTCCAAAATGCCATTAAGCATTTTATAGCATGCTTCCACTTATCTTACTACATTGTTATAAAAAGGAAAAAAGATGGATCTTAAAACTGTGTTTTATATAACGCTAAACTCACATGCAGACCAGAATTAGTTTTACAATGTAGTACATGACACAGGCAGAGCTCTGACCAATGTGAATGGATAAAATGTCTACTAAATTTTTGATGTTGGTATTCGCAACCCTACAAGGCCTCCTGTAGGATCTCCTTCTGCTGTTTTTTCTAAGACCTGGTTCACAAATTCTGATGTCTGTCCAGATACTGGTGCCCCTGAAAGAATGAATGAAGATGCACCTTTAGTACTAATAATGTGCATGTTCCTTGCTTACAATTCTCAATAATGCAAAGATTTGTCAATGCCTAGTAGTATCATATAGGTCTTTACTGAGATTAGTTCTGGGTTTGGTAGCATCCAACATCTACACAAACTGTTTGGGATCTACAATACACTTAACCAACAGCTTTGCCTACTGGGTGGTATAGAAATGCAATAAATAAAGTATGTCTACAAATAAATTAAGTGTAGATACACAAACTTAATTTGAGAGCGACCAGAAAGAGAACAACACTGCCCAGAAGGATTTAACAAAACAAACTGGGTTCTACTGAGTGATGCCTTTCCAGTAACAGGCAGGGCACCCAGTTTTCACCAGTATTACTCACAACAACTCCATGTGCCCCACAAAAGCATCTCCTAGGGGATCATACAGAACAGTAGAGGTTATGGCACAAACGTCTCCCTAAACTATTGCAGTATCAAAAAGTACAGAACAATAGTTTCTACAATGCACTGAAGACAGAGCAAATTAAAGATTTAAACTACAAGACAGAAAAACATGAGCTTCAGGAGAGGAAAAAAGTTCCCAAGTATAATAGCCATTTAGCTCACTGTTGAAGTTATGCAATATTCCTCTTTAAAGTTTAGGTTAGGCAGGATCCAATCAGCAAGATTTTAGGTAGCGTCTCCTCTCAGAGGGGAGATTAGATCAGTCATTCCCAAACTGGTGCCCTTCAGACTTTTTGGACTACAAGTCTCAGCATTCCTGACCATTACCCTTACTGGCCTGGGTGGATGGAAGATATAATTAACGTTTCTAGAAGACACCAGGTTGGAGAAAGCTGAACTAGATCATCAGCACACCTCTGGCTCTGATTCTGGTATATATTAAGAGTAAATTATTTCATCTAACGTGTTTGTCAAGGCCATGAAGTTTCTAATCCAGCTTTAGAAGGGCTGAGAACTTCCCATTAGCCCGAAGATGCAAGGAGGAGGTAAGAGAAGAATCTCCCTGTTATCTTTGATTTGTGATTGAAAATAACAAGGGGACTCTTCTGTGTGCTGCTCCCTCTCCTAAGGAGAGTATGAGCAGCATCTGTCGCTCCTTGTTATCGCCAATCACAATTCATAGATAACAACATGATTCCCTAAGGGCAGTGGTACCTGCATGCTCCACTGGCATTTGCAGGAGTTCCTACATGCATCTTCTGAGTGTGTGTATCTTCTGTTTGTAGTTCCCCACAGTGAAAATGAGAAGCATGATTAACGACAGGCTGGACATTCAACTGGCATTCGCTGGATCTCTTGCAAACTCCGGGCATGTGAAGTCTGTCTGCCTCATTCCCTCACCTAATGGGAAGAAGCTGTAAGGCCAGCAAAGCTGCTTCCCAGCCAAATGATGGGGTAGCGAATCCATCTGGTATGTCAGCTAAGGATAAAATGACATCAGGACATGGCTCTGTCCCCTGCCACATGGAGTCCTGTGGAGAGCAAATGCTTCCCCTCCATTCATTGTAAGCCATGGTATTTGAGCAAGCACTGCTTTCAAGATTTAGAAATGCTAAAGTGAAGAGAATTCTGTCTTTTTTGCTGCTTATAACTAACACTGCATTTGATATTTACTTACCTAGAGTATCTTTAATAAGAACATCAAGCTTCTGACTCATATTGCTTACTCTGTCATCTTTAGGACTCTGTACTCTAGTCACAATTTCTTGTTTGATAGAGTTGATCACAAACAGCAAGTTATCTGCAGAAAAGGCAAAAGAACAGTGAAGAACTACCAGAATGTAACTCTTCTAGGAAGAAAGAATACATCTCACTTTTTTCTATAGCAACCAAGAAAACAAAATTTCAAGGGTGGTTTGCAATGATTAACAAGGGAACAATAAAAAAGCAAAAAGCAGAGATTTAACATAACACAAAAAGGAGAGAAACATAACCAGAGGTTGAAAACCTTGAAAAAGGAAAAGGTCAAAAAGGCCCATAGCCACCTGACAGAAAGCCTAGTAAAGTCCTAATCATTATTACCTCTTTTGCTTTTAAGCTAATTGGTTCCAAAACCTTGGTATCATTTTCTGTGAAGAAATGTAAATGATCATCTATTTACATCAGTGGTTTTGAAATTTCAAGATCTGAAGTCCAGACAGCACACTTACAAAAAGCTACTAGATTTCAGGGTTGTGAAAAATTGCTAAAAGTTACAGATTGATGTTTCAAAGAAGTAGACTGCCAACTATGGTTTTTCTTTGTAAAGGCTTACCATATTCAGTATTGAGGCCCCAAAGTTTCACTTTATTGGCTTCATATTGGGCTTTCTTTTTTAGTCGACAAGCCCTGTCATGTTAGGGGACAGGAAAAAGCAGTGAAAATGCAAGCAGTTATATCAGAGCATTCACCACACAAGTGCACTACCAGTCAAAAAAAATATTAGAATTGACAACCTAGTTGCTAGGATATTGCATGATAATTCCAACACATATTTCTCCCTTCACTGACAAAACACTCATACTCCTCTGCAGGAATATATAGCAATCTTTCAATCACAGATTATGACAGCTTTTAGAAATGTACTAAGCTACACAAGTAAGACCATTCATGCAATCTGCACACATCATACCATAATTCAGAGATACCTCAAGGTTTGCCTCGGGGAGTAGAGAAGAGAAAAACTAACCATATGCTTAGGCAAACCCTGAGAAACATTCTAAGTAGGTCATCTGTCAAGGTGCAAGTTTCTTTCATAACAAGTAAATGTTTTGGTTTATCTCTTACATAGCAGCCTGAAAATGCTCATCAAGAAGAAGACAGACTTCACATGGGCTGGACATAATCTTATTACCTAGCAATTTATTGTAAAACCTTACCTGGAAGCTAGCTTGTTTTTTTCTTTCCTTGACCTTGGTCGAGCTGTTAAGGGAAGTTCACTGACGGGAGTCAAATCACTGATCACTTTATTGAGCTTCCTCAGTTCATTCCCAATCTGAAGTAACTTTTTAGGGTTCGGTGTCAGATCTTCTACATCAGTCCTCCGTGATTTCTTCACAGCATATTTCCCTATTAAATACATAATAACAGCAGGTTACCTGATAAATTGCTAAAATACTGGAAGCTACATTCCAATTGGAGAAATACCCTTTAACCTACAGCATGCTATGCTCCATATTCTAATACCACTGGGAGACATGTGGATTTTAAAGATGCTGAAAATCAGGATAAGATACATTAGCAATGAAATTGGCCACAATGAAGAAAAATATAAAATGTAATAGATGCAAAGTGGATGCTTAGTAAAAAAAAAATAACTCACACATCTACTTTATGTTGGCTTTATATATTTAAAACATTTTAAAATGCTGAAGTTCTTTTTAAAAAGGCCACAGCTGTTGATTATAAAATTAGCATAATAAAAGGAAAATGGCTCGTTTCTATCAAAGTTAATGCCTAGAAATGCAGACCATAAGTAACTGCAAATAGGGAGATGAGAATCAGCACTATCTGATACAGCAGAGGGCTGGAGAAAGCAGGGGAAAGACTTCCTTTGCCACAAGTAGCATGTATTGTGTTTCAAGTGGCCCAAGCAGAAGTAGCTTATCCTGCCTCTCCCACCCATTCTGATCATCTCAACAAATTACTATGGTTACTGGAAAAGAGATCAAAAGTCTGATGCGTGACTAGCTTGGTAAAATAAATCGGCACTGCACTGAAGAGGCTTCAGAATGTTGCCAATAAATATTCAGAAATGGAATTTCTCAGTGCTTCCATTCCCCTTTAAAAGGATTCCAGGTTGCCTTCTTGACAGCACAGCCTCACCTGACTGGAATGCTCGAGAAAGCTTTCCTAAACAATTCAAAGTTACGAGTTCTTACAAGCTTCACAAAGAATGGAGGAAAAAAGAGCACCTACTAAGGAACTGTTCTTACCATGATGTAAGCCATTCTTCTGATACATGTTACTTGGTAATGTATCTCGATTCCATTCTGAAGGCCTCAACATCCTCTCCTGCTGTGATGGGGTCAGCTGCTCACTATATTCCCAGAAGTATCTTCGCTTGCCTCTTTTTCGACAAGATATTGCAGTCATTTCTTTCAAATCCTCTACAGAATCATTTTCATATCCTAAAACGCATAAAGTTCTTGTTTTAATGGCTTTCCCTTAGCAAGAGGACAGGGATAGAGAAAAGAGATCCAGATCAAAATAAAGGATAAGAATTAAGGATAGAAATAAACGGGAATGGCACTTCGGAGCTTGCTTTCTTTTGATCTTAGCCTAACTTGAATCTCATTCATTGCAATGACTGTGCCAGAAGTACAATCAATGCTGCATTCAAATGATTGTCTAAACTCTTCTTCCAGCTGGGCAGAGATCTTATAATGCAAACCTCTCCCAGCCCTTCTATTTTTAGGCAGAGCCTGGAGTCAGCAGCAAACTCCTAGGCTCTGTGGTGCCCACAGATAGCACTTTTGGTGCCCACTACGCTCCCCATCCTTTCTGATATTTTATTTCTTAAGCTCAAAAAAACCCACACTCTTTTTAGCAGAGAGGCTGGCATGCTGAAAAGTAAAGTGTTGCCTTCCCACACTATCTAGGTTCAAAATAAAATTTTTGGGTTTTGGAGCAGAGACCCTCATCCCTACCTTGTATTTAGTCTCTTGGGCAAGCTACTTTAATTGCAACAGTCCATGTTCTGTGAAATGCGTATTTGTGCCTGACCATTAGCACTGTGGCAGCCATTTTATGAATGGGCAACCCCTCCATGATAGTCATTGTATGAGACCATCTATGAAACTTTCCAAGTCCCAGAGGAGTCTGGTGAAACAAAACAGAATGGGGAGCTCTTTCTAGCTCTTCTCTTTTTCAGCTATCATTCTTCTCAGCCAACATTTTACCTGTTCTAGTCACATATTATAATGTATAAATGGCTTCCAAGAAGAGATGAAACATGCCCTTTCCACAAAAAGTCATTTGTGCCTGGCATCTGTTGTGTTCATGCAAAACAGAAGTTAAATTTAGGTATACAGATATGTCTGTTTGCTAGAGGGTTACAAGCTCAGGATTCTAATTAGATCTAACTTCTGCTTTATACCTGTTATTGTGCAATAAAAACAAAGTCAAATTTTTCCGATGTTAACAAGTTAGTTTATCTTAATACTAAGGAAGTTGCAATAGCATTTAACCATTATAGCAACAGACAGCTTTCAAGGTTTCTGTTGCTCTTTCCTGCTATTTAGGAAAATGTCATCCAAGTATTTTTCACCTCTTTACATATGACAATGACTATTAAGCATATTATAGCCAATAATCATTATTATGTGTTGTCAAGTCACCTCCAACTTATGTGACCCTAGGAATGAATGTCCTCCAATATGTCCTAGCCTTCATGGCCCTGCTCAGCTCTTGTAAACACAAGGCTGTCCCTTCTTTTATGGAACTGATTCATCTCACACTTGGTTTTTCTCTTCATTAGGACCTACCCAATTAAGACACAGGACAAAAACACTGTCTTTCGAGAAGGTTAAGGAACAGCTCCTAATGGCAATTTTTAAGAGTCTAACAATACATTCCATTCAGCATCTTACCAAATGAGCCCCCTTCCTAGTTAGCTATAGATAAAACATGGGCAGAGCTAGCTTTGATGCTGGAAAACAGCTTTGACCTTGGAGCTGGAACCCACCAATTCAGAGTGCCCACAAAGCTGTTGCAGCCAGCATGGAAAAAACTGTGTCAACTGCATCTCTGAGGTTGGAAGAGCATCCTCAGAGACAATTAAGAGATAAGGAAGGGATACAGATGGGAGGAGGCCAGAGCCAAGATATGAAGAATTCTGGTGACACTTCTGCCTTCTTCCATGACTGCCACAGTTAAATGACTAGACTCAGCCAACTAAGCTGCTTTGCAGAAGGGGAGATGCATGGACATGACCTTTGGCTCTGTGCTCCTGGCACGCAAACAGTGCCCATAATCCTCTGCGTGCTGAAGGTTAGAAATATTCCCACTGGACTGCACCTTCAAGTCAGAGAAAAGCACCAACAAGATAGCACAGCTGCATTCTAGGCTCTGTTTTTTCAGTCACCTTAGGCAAGCTTTTGTTTAGCATAGGCAAGGAGAGACCAAAGTCTTTACATGAACATGGGTGTTGCCTGTAGAGTAAGAATGGCAAAAAATGATTTAAAATTCTTCTGCAAGAAATGCTATGTGGCTCATCATCTTTCATCTTTGTCAACATGAAAATGTTTCCCTTGGCCCACTACCTGCAGCAGCCTAGCTCTAGGCTACAATGAACAATTACCTGGTTCAGAGAAAGTATCACTGATGTCATCATCTTTGTCATCCTCATAATCCTCTTCCTCCTCATCATTTTCAGATAGCTCATGCTCACTCCCAAAACCTTCATCATGATCTTCATCCTCCACCTCTTCCTCATCATCTTCATCCTCACCAGGATCAGCTTTGCCTGCCTGCTCCCCCAAACCATCAGTGACAAAGAGAGAGTAGTTGTGTTCTTCTTTTTTCTGTGAAGGATCTGAAACAGAGGTGCTGGCGGAAAGGCTGCTCTCTTCAGTGATTAGTCCTGGACTTTCCTGGGGTGGGGTAAGAAGCAGCGCCTGGGTCTCTTTAAAAGGCAATACTGGAGCACTGTGAGTCTGAAGGGAGTCATTCCCTTTCCTCTCTTGCTTCTTTGCTACAGCTCCACAGTAACAAGTGTTTTCCTTTGCAGCATCAGCGTTTGCCTGGCTCATAGCAGACCTGCTCTGGTGTACCGGATTTACCTTTACTTTTGCCTTTTTAACATAATCTTTGCATTCAACATGAATGTTCACCTTCTCATTACTGTACACATTGGTCTTTACCATGATTTGTGTGCTTGAATTGGGCTTGCTTGCTTTTTGGACAAATTCTGACAAAGGTACTTCAGCCTGAGTGGTCTTCGATGAACAAACAGGGGCTGCAGCTCTGGTTGCGATTTTCTTTGTTGGCAGAGAAGATAACTGGGTTTGTTTTACACTGAACAGCAATTCTGGGTAGCACAGTGGATCTGAGACAGGCTGAGAATCTTCACTGTTGAGCTGAGCCAAAGTTGGAGTTTTACTTATCACTTCTTCATCCTGGTATGGGCTTGAAAAATCATCAAGACCCAAATAGTCCACCTCTTTTGTTCCCCAAATGTCACAGCTGGTTAATTTGGTATACTTTGTCAAATCTTCACAGTAAGTGTCCCACTGCTCCCAGTTTCCAGGGAAAGTCATTTCAGTATCTAGAATGTCTGTAAAAGATTCCAAGTTCTCAAGATCTTTACAGTCCTCTACAGAAAGGAGGTTGTCCCTGGAACTCTGCTGGTAATCCATTCCTCTGTCCTACACAAACAGGTTGAAAAATATACATGAATAATAGTAAATTAGTTCTGTCTCCAAGTTCTCATCTCACCCTCCAGCTGTAACCACACTTTTAAGTGCATCATATACTCCTTTGAACCTAAGTATATAAAAGAAGAATAGCACAAATCAATTTAAGGTTGTAATCCAAAAAAAATAACAAAACAAAACAAAACAAAACAAAAAACACCTCACTAGGGAGTAAGTCCACTGATCCCAATGGGACATTCAAGTACACATGCATAGGACTGTGATGTATGCCAGCCTTGAATCAAAGACTTTTATCAACTCAGTACTTCTTCGGTCTCCTGAACTGTAAGGCACTGCTATAACTTCTGTCTAAAATAATTCCTCTCAAACTCTTCTCACTGATAATTTAATCATTAAATTATTAATAATTGATAATTCAATTATAAACGCCACTAGTTAAATTATTACCAGAGATAAAAAGAAAAAGGTACCACATTTATCAAATACAATCCTGTAACAGCCAGACTTCTAAGAATGTTATTTGGATAAGTTTAGTAAAATACAAATATCTTGCAGAATAAAAAGGGGCAACCAAAATTTTTAGGAGCTACAAGCAATTATCTTATGAGAACCTTTGGGCAAGCTAATTAAGGAAAAAAGTGAGTACAGGGACATGTGGTAAGGGAATATTCATACAGTGGAAGAAACAATTTCATAAATATTAGAACCTGGGGTCATCCATAAAGCTAAGTGATGAGAGTGAGAACAAACAAAGGAAAGTACTTCACACAGTGCATAGTTAAACTATGGAATTTGCTGCCAAAACATGTGATGATGGCTACCTGTGTGGAAGGCTTTAAAAGGGGTCTAGACAAATTCATGGTGGAGAAGGCCATCAATGGCTACTAATAAACCTCCAGGACCAAAAGCAGCAGACCTAGCTCCACCAGTTCCTAAAAGCAGATCTAGTTCCTGAAGAACAACTGCAGGAGAGGGCTACTGCCCTCATATCCTCTTTCTGGGCTTCCTGGAGGCATCTGTTTAGCCACTGTAAAAACAGGATACTGAACCAGACAGATCTTTAGTTAGGGTTGTTCTTATGTCCCAAAGGTCCAGTTTTTAGAATTGTTCATATAAAAGCCTAATAGTTTTTGCCATAAATTCTGGTCCAAAAATGCTGAACAATTAGATTAGGGAATCCCTAGTTTTCTCTAGGTAAAGTAAAGGATAAGTAGCAATGATTTTTATATTATAGAAACACAGACAAGTTAAATGCTAGGAAAAAAGTGTCCAACAGAAAGAACAAGTTGGCACAGCAACAAGCTGTCAAGAGAGGTTGTGGAACCTTCCAGGCTGACTTTTTATAGAGGATTCTTTCAGAAAGCGATTCTACATGGGTGTGGGTTGGGTATCTTCTGCTTCTCTAATGACTCCTCTTCTAATTGCTATCCACTTCAAATTCCCCTTAGATGTAGCATTGTGAGAAAACAATGGTTTGACATTTGCTCAGGAAGTAGCTCCTCATGAGAAGGTATGTCAACATACGTCTTAGGCTGTCCAGCTTTGTCAGCCTTTCATTGGTGAATGGTCACTGTCACTGAGCTTATGAACTGGGACTTCGGGACCAGCATAATAAGGCATAATAAACTGCCTTTGGTTGCACAGGTTCCCACAAGGCATTTCTCCTCCCAATAGAAAACAATTTCCTAAATGCTAAAACCTCTCTCCCATTACAGAAAGGCTAAGCAATGCAAAAAATAAATGTAACTTACCAATTCGTACATGAAATCTGGATCAGAACTGTTTGCTAAGAGATCTGTGCTCATCAGAGTCTGTTCTGAAAACATGTGGCTTCGAAAGGCATCCCCAAAAGGAGGGTCCATTCCACTCACACTAGGCTACAATAGATCATTATTAGTTTGAAACAGGAATAACCCCTTCCTTAAGAACCCTTCCCCCTGAAAGTATCAGTCATGTCTGGTGATAGATAGTGCTTCTCTCTCATTTCACACATTCTCTCTCTAATTTCACACACCTTACTACAACAGGGACTCCGGATCCAGGGTGAGTCTAGCCACTTTTTAGCATGTTCTACACTTACTCATTTAAAAAAGGGAAGGCTGACTGGTGGCCTGCAAACTATATAAAAAGCAAATCAATCTAGACTCTAGCAACCCAACTTTTAATCCAAGTATGACCAAGATTTTGCAGTTTCACTTATACTAGATACCAACCATGTCCTTTATTTCTATACTTTATATGTCATCTTTCTCTATGAAAAACAGCCCATATTAATATTACTTCATAATAGAATGCAAAAGTGGATTTCAAATTTAAAACACGATATAAATGTGAAATAAGCAAGAAGAGAAGAGGATAAGAAGAGAAAAACAATAAGGGAAACCATATCTTTAAAATGATCACTGGCATTGAGCTGTTTTCAGAGTCTGCCTAAAATGAAGGCAAGCCTCTTAGAAAGACATTCCACATTCTGAGCACTGTAAACATAAAGGCTGTCTTGGTTGGACCCATTCACCACACATCAGTTAGCAGGTAGGATAGAAAGAGCCTTAGAAGTCCTTTAAAGGTATGTGGGAAAGGAATTTTCCATACATTTGCATTACAAATCAGACATATTTGGAAAGGGACACTGTCTCTAATGATATGCTAAGGCTAGAAGCCCCTGAGCCAGTTTGGGCAAGTCAAAGTGCTTGGTTTTAAAAAAAGAACATAGATATAATATTCAAAATGGAAACAGGGTGAAATGGATAGAGTCTGATATGCACTTGTCTCTAAGAAGAACAGTGGAGGACATACCGGAGACCAAATTGCTCTGTATGATAAAAAGGGCTAAACAAAATTCTCAAAAAAGGCAGACTCATTATGCATGGCAATGCTGTGAGACAAAAGTGATTTAGTTTTGGTGGCATGCTATTAGCCCTGTTCAGCATCAAAATGCTCAGGGTGATCTTGAGGGAGAAAGGAATCAGGGAAGCATTCAAAGGAGAAAGTGTTGAAATAATAGGTAACTTCAAATTACCCTCACCCAGTGTTTGTTTAGGTCACAACAAAAGGTATAGCATCTAGGAACCTAAATGACTGTTCCCTAGAATAGCTTGTCATGGAAGCAGCCAGAGGGGAGGCAAGCCTGTACTTATGCTTAAATGGCACCTGGAAGCTGCTGAAAGATATTAAGTGCCGTGGAATGGATTAGATACCAAGAACATATAAATATCAAAATCAATATATATAAAAAGAAAGTCCAACATGATCACATTTTACTTCAGAGGAGGAAAAATCTCTAAAATGAAGAAACTGTTAAAAAGTTGAAAGCAGAGATTCATAACAGTCAAATCTCCCCCAAACACTATGAAGTTATTCAAAACCACAATAGAGGAATTTCAACTGGAATGTATATTGTAGATCAAGAAAGATGCCACCAAATAAGAGGCTGCCAGCATAGCTGCAGAACCAAGAAAACTATTTGAAGTTTTTAACTGAGAAGTTTTTAACTATTTAACTGAGAAAATGGAACTTCTTGCCCAAATGAGGAAAAAAAGTAATACACGCTGACAATAAGGTACGTAGAAACAAAGGATATGCAAGGAATCATTAAGACTATCAAAAATCTTGGACTAGTGAATGACAAGTGAGTTAAAAGGTAAAGAGAAGATGAATAAAACCTTTTACTCTCTCTTCATTGAAGAAAATCAAGAACAAATACCTGTGCCAGCACAAACATTTTCTGGAAAGACAAAGCTGTAAGGCCTAATTGGCAAATCAAAAATTTAATGATCACTGGGACCATATAGTATTCTTCTAAAGTTCTTGAGGAATTCAAATGTGAATCTACCAATTTCCCAACAAAAATATATAATGTCCAGCTTGTTCCAGCTTCATTCAAGTTAAATGTGCTTCATAAGTGTAAATCTTTTACCATTAAATAGTGCAAACAGTTTACTCAGGTAAATTACCCATGATGGGGTTGGTCTGGAAGTGCAGGGTATAACTATTTTAATGGAATACATGAAATGAGCTAAAAATAAAATAAATACTTCCAGCCACAAAAGCTATGGAATCTGGGTATCCTTAATATAAACAAGCTTCCAAAATATGTTGTTTCTTTGAAAAGAATAACCATGATACAACAGAAAACAATTTACTTCTTTACCAAGAAGTAAAATTCTGCTTTGTACAAAGTTTTGCAAATGTTACTTTGGTAATTAAATGTCTGGAGATCTGCATGACCAAAATTGTACTATCTACATAATTCCCCCTGAAAAAAACAAAATTCAGCTACAATTTCTTGACTTCTTTCTTTAGGAACACATGTACTGTCACTTACCTGAGGCATTTCCAGGCCTAGATCCTCCAAGTCCAAGTCCAATTTTTTTCTTTTCTTTCCTTGCAAATTCTGTTCCAGCTTTTCCTCAGGGTCAGTAGGCAGCATGTAATTCATGCAATGCGGCGTTACAGATTTTTTCTAGAAAAAGCTTCACTTTGACTACATGGAACTTTTCTTTCTCTGGGGACTTTCTGCATGAAATAAAAACAAAAGGAAATATTCATTGTGAACTTTTCTTCTTTGATTATTTCCAAAGAAAGGGACTTTCTCTTACCTAGTATCCATAAAACTTAATCCTAGAACAGCATTAGGAGCACAAGAGTGATTGATCGGTTCGTTTAAATAGTACAATCTGTGTGTAAAACTTTGCAAGGTACAGAAGGCCAGGTCCCTTTCCCAAGGAGCCTATAAATCTAAAATCTGATGCAGGAGAGATGGGAAGAGGAGGGAAATGGATAAACGGAAAGAATTTACATTTCAGCTATATGTAGTTCGGCTTAGTTACAGTATGCACAATAGGGATCTGTACAAAAGGCTTTACAGAGACTTTTGAGAGAGATATAAAGGAAGAAAGAAGTAGAATCACGAAGATACTCTGGAGCTGACGCATAAGGGGAAGCAAGGGGGAAAAAGGTAGAGTCATTGGACAGAACAAAATACTTTCAAATAGCTGAGAGTATTGGTGCTGGAGAGGCAAAGGTCATCAGAAGGATACACTTGAAGAAATGAAAGGAGGTGCAGGCTTTGAACCTAACAATAAATATTCTGAATCAGTCACTAACAATGCCAGAACAGAGATTCAAGGAGCATTGTCACATGATCAGAGCACTGAGAGAAGTGAATTATTTTGGCAATACAGTGTTAGACAGAGGTGAGGCCACCAAGGTGACAGAATGTTTGCAACAGTTCAGGTGAAAGAGGACTATGGTATCAACCGCAGCATTTGCCAAAGGGCCAGAAAGGAAGGATTATATTTCTGCAACATGAAGGAATAATATTACACAGCAATTAATTGAATTTAGGAAGACCTTAGTAAAAAAACAAGGCTTTGTTCCATTTCAGCTGGCTTTATGCTGGCATTGTGAAGAGGGTATGAAGAATGAAGGGCTTTGGAGAGGACATGAGATGCTCAGGCCTGGACATGTTCGATCTGAGCCTATGACAAAAGCAGAATTATCAAACAGATGTAATTCAGGGAGAAGACTAAAGTTCTAGGCTAGAGAAGTACAGTGGTACCTTGGCTCACGAACTTAAACCGTTCCACGACTCTGGTTGTGACCCAAATGGGCTGTGACCCAAGTCAAATTTCTCCGTAAGATTCAATGTAAATAAGGTTAATTCGTTCTGTAACTTTTTTTTAATCAGAATTTTTTTAACAAAGTGACAAAGAACAACAAAGTAACAAAATATTGTACAGTACAGTGGAGAACACTAACCTAGGTGGGGGGGGGAGATTGTTTTGAGGGAGGGTCCCCCTCCATAAGGACACTGGGGAGATCTCCTTCAGGGGTTTCCTCTCTGTTTCTTAGTTGCAGGGTCAACTTTGGTGAAAAAGTCTATAGTCTATAGTCACTTGTTTTTTCCTGCACTGCATAACCCTCCAGAAATGAGAGACCATGTTATTGTTCATCAGATTCAACACTCTGTTCATTACATTTATGTTGGGGTGGTGCTTCTCAAAGAAACCCTGGCATGGGAGCGCTCATGCAGGAAAGACGGGCGCAATCTCAGCCATCTCACCCCCTCCAACCAGCATGATCGCGGCCATCTCCCTGCCCCCCTTGAGTGGGGAGATGGCCAGGATTGCAGTTGCGTTCGTGCAGGGAAGACGTGCGTGACCACGGGCGCGCTCCTGCAGGAAAGATGGGAGCAGCACAGCACAGCCATGACCACGCATGTGTTCCCAGCATGAACGCGACTGCAATCGTGGCCATCTCCCCACTCGGGGGGGGGGAGGGGAGATGGCTACGATCTTGATTGCCACCCAAAGTGGAGATCGTGACCCAAGTCAAAATTTTAATAAAATTTTTGTTCGTGACCCAAGGCGTTCATGAGCCAAGATACCACTGTATAACATGTGGGACTGAAAGCCACAGATTTGATAAGTTCACTCAGGGACAGCATTCTGACAATGCTCAGAGGAGAACTCCCTTATGGAAACACTAAAAGAACAATTAAATGTGTGGGGACAGAATCCCAGGGACTAAATTTATCAAGATCTGGATCTGGGTACCTGATAGTCCCCACCCCACCCCGATTATTCCCCCATATTGGCTCCTACCATCTAGATGAAATCCTACCCCCAAATGGATTATTACACAATCAGAACTGAGACCCTGAGACACTGTTTTTATTTCAGAAATGAAGCAGCTAGAGTAAGCTTGCTTTTTAAAAACACATTTAATGTAATATGTAGTTTGGCTAAAAGAGTCAAGCAACAAAATTATCTGCCTACCAAGTAGGTCAGGAATAATGAGAATTTAATAGAGACCTTTAGAATTGGCAGAGAGAAAATGCTTAGCAATTTCTGCAAGATCAACGCAGTTGAATGCAGGGGCCAGGTGGGGAGGTGTCAAGAGTGCAGCTGGAGCAAGGTAAATATACCAAGAGTATGCAGCATACTCCACAAACCTGGTGGCAAAGTGCAGAAGAGATTTGGGGTAGTAGTTTGAGAGAGAAGATTTGAGTGAGGTTTTTAAAGAATCAGTAACACATTTCAATCAAGAGGACTAGGTTGGTAATTTGGTGGAGAGGAAGGATAATAACAAGAAAGTGGGAGGGGATCAAAAGGGCATAGGAAGGGGTTAGTCAAGGACAAAGGGCAGTCAACTAATCAAGTGAGGCAGCAGGGAAAGGAAGAAAAAGAAAAGCACTTAATAAGGGAGAGCTGGAAGGGAGGAGGGCTCAAGGAAGACCAAAATGGTAAGTTCAGTTTACAACTGAAGGAAGCAAAGCATTAGGTGAAATACATGGATAGTTGAACCAATGGGGCAGAGCTTAGGAAGGCATCAGATATAGGAGGTTTGAGCTTCAAATATATTGTCAGTTGGAGCATTATGAGTTCTGCATCTCTGCACAGAATTTTGTTTTATAATTAATACACCAACTAGGTTGTTTAAATCTTACTTAATATTTTGTCTTACAAATTAGTGAACTGCCCTTCATTCCAAGGAAGGTTCTTAGAATGGTTTAGAAGACCATTGTAAAAAAGTAAAACAAATTTAATTAGGCAGCATAGCAAATGAAGTACCAGAAGGCAAAATTAAATACCAACAGATCTAAGAGGCTGCAAAGACATTAGATTTGACACCAAGCAAATTTCCCTGGGAAAAGAATTCCTAAACTCAGGTATTATCATGAGGGTCAAACCATTTTTGATTGCTGAGACACTCCACTATGTGAACACCAACAAAAAGAAAAAAAAAAAAAAGGAAAAAACCTTATTTCTGAAGACTTCGCCCCCTCCCAAAATTGAAAAAAAAAATCAGAATAAAATGTTTTAGATACGCTCTTTATATATTTACTCATCCAAAATGTTTTCTAAAAACAATGTAATAGATGTTGTATTAGTCTCTGTATGTAGTCTCTGATCATTACAGTTCTTGCACACTGAGGACAAGCCTATGTTGTAAAGCGAGACAACACCTCATGAGTAAGATGGCATTTCTGCTGCTAGGAGACGTGCCATAGCCAAAAGAGAAGGCAGGCTTCAGTTCTTCCTTTGCTTATGTGCTACCACTCCCCCCCTCCCTCACTCCAACTAAAGCTGAATGTTGACTGGCAGGGCAGCCGCTAAATCAATTTTTCTTACCTCAGCAAGATGTTGGGACCAACATCTAGCATGTGGAGGTATCTCCACACTGCAAGTTCTTCTGAGAAAAAAATCTGCAAATACTGTCAAATGAAATAGGTCCAAATGCTACAAGATTACAAAACATACCCTTTTATCAGGTTAGAACTTGCAGACATTAAAAAATCTTTTGTGGTAAGAAGGACCATACTAATGAAAGTGCATGTAGCTTTTCTCAGTGTTCTTGTTTCAGAAATCATCTTTCTGTTCCTTCTGTAACACTAGCATCACCACAAAGAATTTCCCTATCAGTAACAGTATCCTCAAGTAAACAAACATTGCAAAGAATTGCATCCAAAAAAATACTTAAGTAGCTTTGTTAGCAGACAAGATGACACATGAAGATGAGGGAAAAAATCTGACCAAGCTCTTGCCAGGCCACTATGTGAACCCCATTTTCAATTATTGAAAATGCATACTGGCAGGAAGCTTTAAAATTACTAAGACCGTCATATGGTTTGCCCAGCATATATTCTCTGAGTAAACCCTCTTTTAGAATCAGAATGTGAATACATATCTCTGCAGTGAAAAAATCTCAAAGCACTGTGTCTTGCATTAGTTACGGATGGACAGACAAATGTGAGGGGAGAATAAATCATGAACTTTGTAATAAAAACTCAACCAGGTTATTTATGGAAGCACTGAAACATGAAACAACAGACAGAGCATGCTATTATCCGTTAAGTCCTACAGAAAATTGGGAGTGGTAAAGTACTGCATTGCAAACTGATAATGCAAGTAATATGAAAGCACCATGGGAGGCGATAATGAACAAGTATCCACGTATTACTTGGCATGTCATGTTTCTTAATGACATCATGAACGATAATGAACATGTAAAAACTACCCATACTGTAGCAGTGGTCTTCAAGAAGCAGCAAGAAAAACATGCAGAGTAAAATAATGATACTGAAAGCTCTGTAGTGTAACTTCATGGGCTGGAGTGGTAATCTCGTTCGAAACTTTGCTAAAAAAGACTTTTTAAAATAGCAGCAGCTTGGGGAAAAAACAGTAATAGCTGAGGGTCTTCAAGTACCCAAAAATGTAAGGAACACTGTACTTGATAAGGATGTCTTCTGGGTTTGGCTGCAGAACTCCTTGAAGATTCTGAAGCTAATTTTTTCAATATACATTTGTTGAAAATTCCTTACCAAATAGCCAAGATAAAAAACAAGTCTTTGAGAATCAAAGTGTATCTCACAAGTACAAAAAAATTAAGTGAAACATACTAAACAAGAACTGTGTTGCCATCCTGTTCATGCTACTGAAGCTCTATTGCTCCAAGATGCAAAGGCATAAGCCCGAGGTAATGGGCTGGATGAGGGCCAATAAACTGAAGCT